TGTTAATTTCTTTTCAAGTCTAAGTTTGCCTAGATAATAAAGAAAAATCTGTTCCTTTTTTCTGCTAAGTTTAGCATAGCACGCAGCCTCACAACTGCAAAGGCTGTTTCAGGTCCTTAAAAATTCATCTGTAACAAAAATCATAACTATATTTAATAGGCACTTCTGAAAACCGAACATAAGCCATTTCTTCTAAAGTAGAGCTGAGTTGGTTTTCTTTTTTAATGAAAAAGATTGTATCACATTTATTTGTAATAAACAAAATGGCTTCTAAATTATTCTTCTGGTTCTCCTTTCTAAATTTACTTTAAAACATGTGAATAGATAAACCTGCAATATTTTCACTGCTCAGCAGAGTTTTAAGTTGTGCCAGATTTGCCATATGAAGAAATGACAAATGACATGTAGGTACAAGATGGGACAGTTATATGGAGATCCAGACAAGGAATCTACATAGTTCAATGCAAAAATCTTACTCCAAAGGCTTTATTAAATAGTCAGAGCCACAGTTTTGATTTTCAGGAGGGAAGTTCCCACTTTGCTCTTCTGATATAAACTGTAAGTACTTTGTTTCAACAACAACAAAAAAAAGGATAACTGCATCCAAATAAATCCTGACATTCAGAAACATAGTCAACACTTGGAAGCTAAAAGTAGCAAAAAATAAAACCTGTTGGTCCTTAAAGCAGTCTCATAAACACCATATTTTGCTATTTCTAGGGAGCTGCTGTTATTGAGGCTACTTAGACCAATGCTTTCATTCAGTGATTCTGAGTCACCATCCTAGACAGCACTGACTGACCTCTAGGTTCAGGCAATCAGCATACCCACTCTTCCTCCATCAACATACCCACTCCAGTGAACTCTACTGCGGGGTAGTGGGAAGCATGCTCTTTTCCAGATGTGCAGAAATTAACTCCCCATACAGTTTAAATTGGCCACAGCATTTCCAGCCTTCCAGGCCCATTCTTGGTCTACAACTGTACCGCTTTCAGTACAAAGCATATCCCTCATATTAAAAACATTCTAACTGCAACTCCTGAAATTCTGTATTTAATTATGGTGGTTTTCCTCATGTTATTGTACAGGTCGATCACACATACCTGTTTAGTCATCACCATCACCTATGCTCTACAGAATATTAAAAAGTCACTAAGCCCTGTACGATGGAGAAAAATGTATGGTAAAAAGATGAGTGTTAAATTAGCCTCTACACAACAAAAAGTAATAAAAATATAGAATGGTTTTTCTTTTCTTTAAACTTTCATACTTTAAGCATGACTGTTACCATTCTCAAATGCATCCAGTACAGAACCGTAATACACTGGTTCAATGCATGATGCCACATCTTACATTAACACTTCCTACCCTGGAATGCACTTATAATAAATTGGCTCAAAGAGTTACACACAATTTTTTTAAGATCCTGATTATATCTGCCACAGATACAAACATTACATATCCCTATATTTCTATAAATTTATTCATTATTGTCTGGTTTAATTTCCAGCAGAGGGGTCATAAACAAATTCATTTACTCAGCCAATAGTTATTGAGAGAATTCTATGAGTTAGATACTGTGCTGGAAGCTGGGATTTAACAGTGAGCCAAACAGACACAATCCCTACTCTCATATGTTTGCAATGTACAACAGAAAGAAAATCTATGCTCATATATAAAATTCAGACCATATATTCTTCCATTAAAGACTGGCCTACACTTTGCCTGCTTCAATAGAGAGAATTCAATCAATTAAAGGGGTCTGCTAAATCTTTCTATTTGATAATTAAGATCTAAAGAGTAAAAGACTTCAAAAACATGTAAACTAAGAACAGGTTAATAGCAAAAAAATGTATCTTCTAGAAACTGAAAAAAATTTCAGGATAACGGTATGTAACTTGAAGCAGGCATTGAGGGCCACTTGTATTACACAGACTCACAGACAAATTATATTAAATGAGGTTACCTACGTACCACCAATAGAAATATTTAGTGAATATTCACGAATATTAATCAATTGAAGGAAATATAATGTACTTAACACCTACAAAATATATAAAAACATCAAGTTAAAATGAAGTATGCTCTTGTATATCTATGTAGAATACTAAGTTTTGAGTGTCAAAATAAGCACTAATATAAATGAATTCAAAGAATGAAAAAGTTAAAAGACAACAAGAAAATAACCCAAAATTCAATGTAATATTCTTATAGTGGTAGATTTCAGGGTTCACATTTTTAAAGTTAAAATAAAAATATAAGCATATGGAGGAAATTCGGAAGACTGGCATAGTTGCCGAATACAAATCAAAATAGGCCAAATTTTACTGCCAATACTTTCATCTACTCAGGTAACCATGACCTGCCTTTTTAAATGTCTCCATATTATTAATATACCTAAGTAAATAATTAAATGAGCAAATGCAAATCCCTGTCAAAAAATCCTCTTCCATTAAAATGGCGTCACACCTTCAACTAAAATTTATACTTTGGAAACAATTTTAGATCTAATTTCATTTCAATACACAGTCATTCCTCCATAAACCGGTTAAAAATATTAGATCTTTAAACTGTGAATGGATACTTCCTATAACCTCCTCTGGATAGGTTTTGTTTAAATGATGGAAGGAACCAGGTCATTAAGTCTGCTCATCAAAGCAGTAAATCAGGAATTCCTCAAATGAAATCCCTCCCTAATATCTTTCCCCTTATCAAAATCAACCATCCTGGATTCAAAAACTCCTGAAATCACACTCATACACATACACGCATGCACAAAACCACATTTAGTGTATATTACTATACAAATAGTCTAAGCATTGTAGTATTTATGTTGCAAAAGCAACATACCACGGACACAAAGCAGCAGCAATTCTTGCATTATATTCAGCTAATAAGAAAAAAAGTTCTCCACACTACCACCACTTTAGCAGTAAAATTGGTTTACATTTTTTTCTCAGAAAATTATCTCCATATTCCTTTTTAAAAGCACAGAGTTATTTAAATACACAGTATGTAACTGAGCATCCATATAAGTGTTATTTTCCTTAGACATTCAAACCTAGGCCCTTGACAAACCCCCTGGGCTTTAACTCTGGGAAACCCAGAGCTGTCACTTTTCAGGCAAACTGGGTTGGCTGGAGAGACCTCAACTGCCCAGTTCACAGTTAAACAGAAACAAAGACTGTCAACAGGGCAACAGAAGTGAAAAAAAAAAAAAAAAAAAAAAAAAACAATTCTTAAAACAAGTCTCTCTAAAATACGTGCTTTTCACCTTAACCATGCACTTAAACACTCTATGTATTTCTCTTGTTCTCTATTTTCTTCTCAATCTTCAGAACTCAGAAAACATTCAACTGACCATTTTCAGTCATTAGCAGTATCTCGAAAATGAGAATTAAAAAAAAAAAAAATCTTTACTTTCCAACTCTGTATTCCTCTTCCCTGGCTTCATTCCCCTAAACCCACCTCTTTCATCCAGTGCTTTGCCTTCTGTTCTTGGTAAACATGTGCACATTTGTCTAATTGAGTTTCAAAATGAAGACATAAAGAAAGCATGTCATGTAAATTAACCATTAGTAACTACGGGTGTGACCAGTATATTTTGTTCTTGCTTGTAAATGGTCCAGTACATAAGCAGTTCATTCCCAAAGGCAATTGGTTCCTTGAGCCAGCAAATGGAATGCTCAAGATAAGAAAGAAAATGCATGCTTCTCAAACACCAACTGACAGTACAATATTCTTTTCTTACAGAAATGTTTGAGAAACGTATTTATTATACATGCAAATATCCAGAACACAAGTGCAGTCATTTTTCAGGCCTGTTACTGCAAAGCTGTTTGCTCTTCCTACCCCAATAGCTCAGGGTTCTGTCACTCTGGTTTGCATGTGAACCTCGATCACTTGATTCTGAACATCCTCTCAGAGATAATAATCAATAAATTCCTATTTGAGAAATGGCATTTTCTTGCTAACTTAGTGTTAAAGCAGAATTTTTTTTTTTCAAGACTAGAGGGAAATTTTTCCTGTATGCTTCCCGTTTTCCTTCTAGCCCAGATTCCAAAGATACTAAACTGCTATCTGTTTTAAACAAAAGGTTTCTATTTGTTGCCATGGGAGTAATTGAGAGGCTACGTTGGTTTTCAGTAGTAACTATTGTGAATTCAGGCCTACATCTGGGTTGCCTCATTAAACAAAAGATACCGGTCGCTGTCAACAACCACACAGCACAACGCTCCCCTATCCCTCATCTTTATCTAGAAGGAATGGTGCAGATGAGAAACACGGCTGTCACCATCCACTGGCCAAGAAACTCTTCTAGGCTCCCTCCTTTCGAAGGTTTGGTGGCTAGAGAACAGCTCTTGTGTGACACATTTGGGCTGGCCCTCCCGCCCCGCCCCCAATACACAGGCCCTTTCTTTGGAGAGCCAACCACTTGGCTTCCTCATCATCACTGCTCCGGGAATCCAGTTTCGAGTCTGCCCACCGCTCCCCCATTCCCTCCTGACCCCAGAAGACATTGATCATGGATGCACACCAGCCACCCCGCCGCAGGCCATCCCCCAACGTGTCCCGGGCTCGGCTCGCCCCCCGCTGGGCCCCACACACGGCTCCCCACGCCACCAATCCACGGGGAGCCGCGGCCACGGCACTGTAAATTCAACCCCTCTGCCCACCTTTCCACCCCTGAGCCTCTGGCCGGAGTGATCTGCCACTTAGCAGATGCACAGCAGATAAGGCACAGCCCTCAGGGACACGAAAAGGAACAAGCCGAGGCACCGGGCAGAGCAGCCCGACCCCTCTGCTGCGTGCGTGTGTGTACGCGCCCGCGCGCCCGCGCGGGTGAAGGCAGCGGCCGGGGGCGCGCCCGGGAGGGTAGCGGCAAGCCGGGGGGCGGGGGGCGCCGAGGGCAGCTGCCCCTCAGGGCCGGGGGTGGTGGGCGGGGGTGCGCAGAGGCTGGGCGGAAGGACCCGCGGCGGCCGGCCCCGGGCGGTACTCACCGAGCAGCAGCAGCTTGAGCTCCCGGCGGGCGTCCCGCTTGTCCCTGCGGAGCTGCCGCTCGATCTCGTCGTTGATCCTCCGGGCTTCCTTGGCCTCCTCGCTCAGGCAGCACGCCATGATGGACTCCAGAGTCATTCTTCCAAAGTGCCTCCGCTGCAGCCCCGCCGGCACCCCCTGCTCACAGCGCGCACACACACCCTCCCGCCCTCGCTCCCCCGAGGCAGCGGTGGCCGCCGAGCCCCCGCCGCCCGGGCGCGCGTCCGGGACGAGCTCCGGGAACCGCCGCGGGGGCGGTGGCCAGGGCCGGGGCCACCAGGTGGGCCGGGGGCGCGGCGGGAGCGAACTGCCTGGGCCGACGGGAGAAGCGAGGCGGGCGCGGGAGGCGGGCGCTGGCTCGGGGGGCGCGTGAGGGAAGGCCGCCGCGCCCGGCCTCGCTCAGACGCCCGCGCCTCCTTCCCCGGGAACGGGCGTCCCGCCTCGCCCCCCGCGCCGCCGCCGCCTCCGCCTGCGAGGCTCCCCTACGCCGTGCGCCTGGCGGCGAGAGTTCATCCACCGGGGTGTCCCCGCAGCGAGCGGCCGCCGACGGCTCCCCGCGCCCGGCGCGCCCGCCTCTCGCCGCCGCCTGACACGGCTCCCGGGCGCCCTCGGCCCTGTCCGCGCCCACCGCCCGGCTCGCGCGCAGACCCGGTTCCCGGCCCGCCCGGCAGCCGCGCGCTCCTCCGCCTCCGCCCCCGCCCCCGCCAGACGCCCACCCCCTGCCCCGATTGCCAGGCGCGGAGCGGCTGCTCAATGCGCGCCCTCCCCCTCGCCACACACACACATTTTCTTCTTTCTCTGAACTGGAGCACAGATCCGGGAGGGAGGAGGCGGCGGCGAAAGGAGGAGGGGGAGGAGGCGGAGGGGACAGGCGCGGGAGGAGGGGAGCCGGGAGGCGGTGCCGCCCGGCCCCTCCTGGAAGGCTTTCCTGGGCTCGCGGCCGCCGCGGCGCGCCTCCCCGTGCGGCTCTCGCCTCGCCCGCGCGGCTACCCGGTTGGGCCGGCCCCCTCGGGCTCTGCTGCTGCCTCCTGCTCCCGCGCCCTGGGCAGAGCCCGCGAGCGCAGCGGTCACTGCCGCCCCCAGCCGGAGTCGGGGGCCGAAGCCCGGGCAGGGCCCGGTCGCCGACGCGCGGCTCGAGCCAGCGGCCGCCGCTGCTTGTCAGGGCCACCGCCGACCTCCGGCTGCCTGCCGGCCGGGCGTGGTGAGGCGGGAATATGGCGGCCTCTGCCTGCCTCAGCCCACCGGCCCGGGAGCGCGGCCGCGGCCCCTGCTGAAGTCGCGGGAGGCGGCCCCGCGGAGTCCCGCACGCGCTCCCCGCGGCGCCGGCGCTGGCATCCGCCGCTCCCGGGCCTTGCCCTTCTGCTCCGCGGGGACGCTCCTCAGCCGCTTCTGTGTTTCCCGTTCCTATTTCTAAAACGCCATTCGGTTAGAAACTCTCTCACATCACCTCTGACCCCGGTGCAGTCTTAGAAAATAAGATCCTCTCTACTGTGGGGGGCGACTGAGGAAGGGAAGGAACCGGGCACCGGTGTCTGGAGGGGTAGCAGGGGGAAATTCACAGGAGAAGCTGTTCTCAAAGTAACGTGAGCTAGAAATCTAAATCCTAAGCAGAGAAAGGAAGCTGCCCAAGTTTCCAAAAGCCCCCAGATAGGTTCCAACTTTCCATGCCTTTGTTTTTTTGGTTGTTGGTTTTTTGTTGTTGTATTGGGGGGTTTTTGGAAGTTGTTTTTGATTTTGTTTTACAAGTTCTCTTGTTTCTGACAAGGCACACAATGTTTAACTGCCAAGTAATCGAATTTACCCTTCCACACTGAATTATGAATGACTTCCGGGAAAATGTAAAATAATGTGGAATAAATGGAAAGAATGAAATAGAAGAGAAACTAAGATGACCTCAGCAAAATGGCATTCTAGTTTTTGTTGTTTTTTTTTTTGGTTTGCCATATTTGAGGCAGTTAACTGTCGTATGCATATTTCATTGTGATCGTCTACTGATAAATAGCACACGAGAATAATCTTCTTGCTCAATCAGGTTTTATTTGGTTTAATAGCTACAGGAGGTGAAACTCATGTTACTTCCTGCCTTAAAGGAACCTGAGGTCTTCAAAGAAAATGGGCTTTTATGAAGAAAACCACCTTTTCACGTTTCATGTGTTCTCTGAAGTGTCCCTAGTGCAACCTGCTGATCCAGAGTGTAAAGTAAGGTTCATGACTTTGCTTTTGCTACAGATCAAGAATTCACATAGGCTTCTTAGACAACAGGTGTGTTAACTTCCTTCTTTCTTTCATTTGCCATTACTCCACCCTTTGACACACACACACTCTCTCTCTCTCTCTCTCTCTCTCTCTCTCTCTCTCTCTCTCTCCCTCTCTCCCCTCTTTCTCTAAGCCAGGATTTAAATCAAGCAAGTCAAGATATAAAATGTCTATTTTAGGTTCTCTCTTTAAAACCTAGAAAATAATTAAATTTCACCTTGGCCAGGGGAGCAGAGAGGGCAAACCTCGACCCTTTTCTGTGAATGCCTACAAAAAGCCGCTAGACTTGCTGTGAAACTAAAATTTAAAATTAATTGACTAAAGAAATTAAAGATTGCAATTAAGTGTGCAAAAATAGAAAGTGGCTTCAGGAGAAAAAATTGCATCCTCCTAATATATGTATGTATATGAGCTTTGAAGGACACAAAACACTAGAAAACCAAATGACAGGAAGCTTCAAGTCTCTAGTTTCCTACCCAAGGATCCTCTGAGACTTTTGAAAATGTCTTTTAAAATGGGCCATACGGCTATCAGGTAATATGTTTTGACTGAATTGACCTATTATTTGATGAATTCACCTGTTTTCAGAGGGTTATAGATACAGTTGGAGTCTGTTTTGTCCCCCCTTTATCCCCCCAACATCAGGAACACTCCCTGGCACTTAGATACTTGAATGAATACAAGTCAATAGAAGAATGTTTCAAGTATTGGGGAGAAATCAGGAAGTAAGAAAAACCAAGGCTCTACAGTGATAAAGCCATACATGGGTGTCAAGAAGGAAACAGGAAAAGAAATTCCAAGTCTGAGCCCAGATCTATCCAAAAAGCTTTCCATATTATCTGGAGAGAATTTGCCAAGCAAATATTCCTAGAGACTAAGTCAAACAAATAGAACCCGTGCAGAAACTACTGACAGTTGACCATGTTCTGCAAGCACATACTCTAATGTAACTACACAGGGATCATGTTACAAAAATCCCAGTTTATTCAGTCAACAAACATTATTCATTACCTACTATGTGGAGGTAACAGGTGAAGGTACAGGATGAGAGAGATACTAAATGAATAAAATACAGTCCTTACCCTCAATAGGCTTATAATCTTATGACATATTGAGGCTCTAAACAGCTATAATAGAAGACTAAAATCAATTTATATAAAAGTTGGGGTGGAAGTAACAATATAAAGGTCTAAAAAGGAAAGGGAGAACTGGAAAAGATATGGCAGGAAAAGGGGCATTGAGATGCATGTTAAAGAATGACAAAAGTTTTCAATCACCTCAAAGTAAATCAGCAATTTCAAATCACCCCATACAAACGGTAAGATGATAAACCATTTGAGAATTCAAGGACAATTACTAATGAGCTGAAAAGCAAATTGCAGTACTTCAGGAACACTGAACTTCAGAAAAAAACAGGAAGACTGTCACCTTTTCTATGGTATCCTGAGATGGATAGCTAACCCTACAATCATATCACCCTGTCCTTTGGGGACTGGGAAAGAAAAACAGTAAAAGGCATAAATCAGTCTTCAGGAATGGTTCTGCAGTCAAATAATGAAAGGGTGGTGTTCTTCTCAAAGGATCTCCTGGGGAAGGAAAGACCCATAGAGGTCATCCGACACAGGCAACATACAGTACCTCTCTTGTTCACAGTCACTAGCATGGCTGCTTCATATGCACCATAGCACTGTCATTCTCTAGTGTTCTCTTTCTCTCTGCCCTCCTCCCCCTCAGAATTAGGAGATGCTTGAGAGCAGGGACCTTGTTTTTCATAACTTCTCATGGCACCAAAAAGAGGGCCTAGCCTAGAACAGCTACTGAGTAAATAATGAATAAACGAAAGAATGGTACCACCTAACATCATCAACAAACACACACTTGCAGAGTGCCTGTCCCAGACAGTGTGTTATGCCAGATGCCTGAGACATACAAAGCCCTTAAAGGCTTTATAATCTATTGGTGAGACGGGCCATGTGCATCAAAGAATAAACAATACAAAATGAGAAGCATTCGTTGCTAACACAGTATAGAAAATGGATTGCTAGTGGAGTTCAGGAGAAGCAGTTACCCAAGCTACCACTCAAATTAACCCAGAGTATGAGTAGGCACACGCTGATCACCCAGAAGACTTTAGAAATCAGCCTGAAGAGCATTGCAGATCCTTCCAGAGCTGGGAAAGAGCTGTCGGGCCAAGGAATAAAGTGGACTTGCTCATAAGGAAGAAAGAGAAGCCGACCCAGGGAGCCGCTGAGAGCTGCAAATGGCGCCACCTAGAGGACCATTCTTATACCAGCAGAATCTTAAGTGGAACTGTCCAGTTGAAAGAAGAGCGGGGCTAACATGGTGAAGACAAAAAACTAGGCATGAAACACAGTATCTTCCAAAAGAAAAAATACCCACATTACAAATCCATATAAAAGATATTCTAGAATCTGAATGAAGCACAGTACTTCAGTGACATCTTTCCTTTACTAAGCTCAGAAAATGTACCCAAGTAATCCTCTGATTCCAATAAAATGTTTCTATTTTGTGCTTATCCAGGGTTAGCAGTATCAAGGGAAGAACTGTACTTTATAGTTTGAAGGACACCAAAGTCCCAGTAGTCTGAATAACTCTCAAAGGCTTGTCAGATGGGAGCTCATTTTAAGCTGAGTAGTGTTTCACCCAGAGAAGCTAATGTTTGATGAGTGAATAAGCGAATGAATATGTACTAAAATCAGAACATAAGATATCAGGTCACCCAAAATCATGATCTAAATCTATTCGGGGCCAGGTGCAGTGGCTCACGCCTGTAATCCCAGCACTTTGGGAGGCCGAGGCAGGTGGATCACTCGAGATCAGAAGTTCGAGACCAGACTGGCCAGCGTGGTGAAACCCTGACTCTACTAAAAATACAAAAATTAGCCAGGTGTGGTGGCACACACCTGTAATCCCAGCTACTCAGGAGGCTGAGGCAGGAGAATCACTTGAACCTGGGAGGCAGAGGCTGCAGTGAGCCAAGATCATGCCACTGCACTCCAGCCTGGGTGACAGTGAGACTCCATCTCAAAAAAAATAAAAATAAAAAAATTTTAGTTGGAACCCAACAGGTCAAGGATGATTTAGCTAGTTTAGGAGTTTTCTTACTGCCCTGGAGTTACTACAAATTGGACTTCCCTATCCTTGAAGACTTTCTGGATTTGCTGAACTCAAACTTAAGACCAAGGGTGCAAACTCCTGGTCTTTATTTTTGACTCAGTTATACAATTGAGGTTTTAAAATCAGCTGCCTGAACAAAAATGTCAAGAGAGTTACATAAAAATCTGAAGTTACTGGTCATGATCTAGTAGCCGCAGGCTTATATCCCAATGACAGTGCTTCCCACCAGCCTGATATACTTCCCATTCCGGCACCACTTGGATGGATTTACATTCTGCTTTTAGTAA